AAAAAAATGGCCGAGAACGTGCGTGGAAGCTGTAAAAAAGAAATAACTTAATTACAATATTCTGCTCAGTAGGATACGGATACTGAATATTTTTCTGAATTCATTTTCATCATTACTTGGCGTTGCAGCAACGAATACCGGTTATCGTTGTACTATTTACAATTCAAAAAACTATTACACTTATTATTACTATATTACCGTGCTGTTACTTTACTAATGTATTACTATATATTTATTACATTACTATACGTTTACTATAGAACGTATATACATTACTATATTACCATACGCTTATTATAGATTCACGATACAACTATACTATTATTGTATTACTGTACACTTCCTATGCTGCTATACATTTATTATATCTATTGTTTAAGACTGCTGAACAATTATTATTTTCATTATAAACACCAACAGGCAATTGCTGTTTCATTGTTTCTTAAGTGGACAATTTAACGGTGTGTTCCCATTAGAATTAGCGACATTATTGGCGAATTGAAAACGGCGGAAACTAAGAAACGTTTTTATCCGATCAAACAGTCGAGGCTTCCGAAGGGAGCCGCGATCGTAAATCTCACGGACGTGATTTAATAAAATTCAGAAGCGTCCCAGTGAATAATTCAGCTTTCTCCATTGAACGCATCGAATCTCTATTCTTATAGAACCACGGGAACACACTTTGTATAATCGATACTTTCATAAATGCGTCGTCGATTCAACGATTCTTATTCATATTCAGTTAAAATATTTATTGCACTTTTTTCATTTTGCATTGCATAAGACCTTTCCCTTTGGTCTCCTCAGACATTTTTCTGTATTTTTCTTGTATTTCCCTTCGTGTATAATGTACCGTTGTCCCGAACTGTACCGTTGTCCCACAGAAGAACACTGAAAAAGGGAAAGAAACGATATTTCGGTGCTTAAGAATAATATACAGTTTCGGTAAAATATTCTGGAGATTCGAGAAATATCCTAAAATTTGTACAATTGTACATTGAATATAAAAAAAATTTTTCAACACGCAGAAAATAGTATAGAACTTCATAGAGCACACTAAAGTTTGAAAAAGAAATTTTTCAAAGCTCAGAAATTTATACATACACGGTGCGGCAAGAATGTTATGCGAATGGTCGTAACAGATATGTACGTCGTAATATGATCTAAAGCGTTCGCTAATAAACAGCAGACGATATTTCGGTTTTGTAACGTACAGAAGTGTTTTCCGCGTCTTGTTTTGTCATGCCGTCACAATCTTTACGATGGAACAACCGCAACCGTAACAACGTTTTTAGCTAAAAAGGGAATTCCTGTGCTCAATCACTCTCCTTACTCTCCTGATTTGACGCCCGCAGACTTTTTTTTATTCCCACAATTAAAATTGAAATTGAAGGGTAAACGATTTCAATCCGTGCTTGATATTCAACAGTGTTACAAGACAATTAAACGAAATTAAAGCAGAACAATTTTCAAACTCCTTTAAACGATTATGTGACCGATGCAAACGTTGTATCGAGTTCCTTGTAGATTATTTCGAAGGAAATAAATAAAAAGTCTACAATGTTATGTATTAGTATCTTGTATTTTTCACTAGTCTCATTACTTTCTTGCCGCACCGTGTAGCTTCAAATTGCACTTCAGAATTTTATAATTCTGAAATATAATTTTTCAAGTCTCGGAAATTAAAACAGCTCAAAAAAAAAAAAAGGAATCCACGAACCAGAAACAAGCAATGGGGCGGCGTAGCGACCTCAAACGAGGAAAATTTAAGATTAAACGGAATTATCCAGAGGGCGAGTGTCTTTCCCAAAAATACTACCATCCCGCAATCGTTGATATGGTGATTACTCATTCGTGCGAACATCACGGCCAGTGGTCTTAATTGAACTTGGTTACAAGGGGGATGAAACAGAAATGGTGACGTTGTACGTTCTCTCAGTGATATCGTTGCAGGAGGCCAATTTCTGTTGCATCTTGTTCATTTCCCCCTATGAACAATTTACTTCCTACTTTGGAGAAGCGGAGGAATTGTGGATTAAAGGAGAACCTGAAGATGCAATCTATTTACTTTAATAATAAATACGCAGGATGAT